GCTGAGGGGAGCAGCGGGCGGGTCAGGAGAGGTCTGCCACACCATGTGGATCTCCTCCGGGGCAGGTGGGGATCGAACTCATGCAGAATTGGCTTAAGCTTCTTAGTGCAGTGCTTTAACCTGCTGCACCATCAGGGAGGGCCGTGGCTTTAGTTTTAAGATGCTATGACCCCTAAGCTAGAGAGATATAAGATGACCAGTCATGCTAGAATTGAACAATGGCAGGTGGGGCCATGAAGATGATGACATCACTGCCAGAAACAGATGACATCACTGTAGAAGAGCAATACCTTGTCTTTTCTGTTCTTCCCACCCTCCAATCTTTAACTGGCCACGCCCACCTACTAGATCCCAAAACTTGAGTCTGGAAAACAGCCTGCAGGAGTCAGCCATCTGCAATACAGAGCAGTGTTTGGGACGCACAAACAATGAATCTGATAGCAAATAGCACTGATGAGTCCAGAAAGGGGGTACTAACTCCTCCCTCCACCGGTTCACGTTCATGTGTGTGTGTGAACATGAACACGACCTGCAATAAAATCCAGCAACGTGGCTTCATACATGCCTAAATACTTCAATTACCAGACTGTTTGAATTGCTATTAAATGGCTAATACTGCACTGATAAACATTAAATATTTAGCATATTTGCCTGCTCACTAGTGACTGGAAGTTTTGTAGTTTTATGAGAATAAAGGCTGTTAGAAATTTGCAGAAACTAAATCACTCACGTTAGATGAATGGAAACCCCTTTAACTTTTTTTTTTATAATATAATAGTTGATTTTTACATCATTTTGTACATTCTTTTTTCATCTCAATTGTAATTCCTGTGGGTTTCCCATCACCGAGTCACCCATGTGTCATCACCATAGTCCCGTGGACTTCCCTCCCCCCTCCTTTTTGATCCCATTCCACACTCCACCCCCACAAAATGTCTCTGGTATATGGCTGTTCATTATTATTATTTTCTCGCCTGGTCCATTATACTCCTGCTATCAGCAAAACCATCTGGTATTTTTCTTTTTTTCTGGCTTATCTCACTAAGCATGATCTTTTCCAGCTCCATCCAAGTTGCTGCAAAAGACATGTGGGAAACCCCTTTAACTTTAATGATGGTAGGTGCGTTCTACACGCATCCTTGTTAGCTTGTGCATATTTATACAACTGCAAGTTGGCATCCTTTGCAGTGCTTGAGGGCCAGCTGGTCTGTAGACATGGAAGAGTTACACTTCAATTATTCTGAATCATAGCATCCTACATTTTTTCTACTTGGGTAGTCTTACACTTCCTGTTGCCCTTTTCTTAAATTACCTGAAGTTGTGCATTTTCTTGCCCTCTTCATGTGCTCTGTAGGCAGTTTTGAAATCAGTATTGTCTACACTGACTCTGCATTGTAAGAATTCCTCAGGAAATTGTTCACCATGGAGATCATGTTTGGAAATGGTCAAGATTGTAGTAATTTCAGGACAGTTCAAATGACTCTTTGCAGTCTGTGTCTTTTTCAAGGCACAAAGAGCTGTCTGTTTTATGATGAAGTAAAGCCAAAGTAAGCAGGATTTTTGGAATTACATCTGAAACATCGAGGTTTACAAAATATATCCAGGGTTCCTGTCTCCCTCCAACAATCTTTAACCCCATCTGCTAGCCCAGCGTTTCTAACTTTTTAACCCTCCAGCTCTCTTAGTTGTAATAGATGCAATCGCTTTGTTTACAGTCAGGTCATTGCAATAGAAACGGAAGCTCATCTATAATAATTTCCTCCCTTACCTATCAGAATTTTTAG